GTTGCAGATTCAACCCCCAGTCATAAATATCAGCCAATGTTTGTCATTTTATCACAAATTGTATCGGTCTGGTAAGTAAACTTTAGGTAAAAAATTTAAGACACTTAACCCACTTGCCTGCTGGTGGTGGTCAGAGGGACTGATGGCGTCTGTGCTTGGCAGCCTCGCCTCGGTAAGTGCACCCCAGGGCAGCTGTGGCTACATCGTAGCTCATCATCACCAGTGTGTGAATGTGTGTATGAATGGATGAATTTTACACTGTAATGTAAAGTGCTTTGGAGTTCTCTGACTCTGAAAGGCGCTATACAACAACAAAAAAGAAACCTAAAAGTGTCTTTTTAAACATTTGCACTTCCCTTGGAATGCTTCAAGTCACTTTAGTCACGGCAATAAAATATCAAATTATGACATAAAAGAGCTACAAAAATAAACAGACAGACAGACAGATAAATAAATATGAAAGTGGTATGGAGGAGGATTAGCATTTTAAACTGTTGGGGGCAGCAATGGCAGAAATGACAAAGCTTTTACTGACGAACGCCTGCTTTCACCTCACAGTCCTGTTTTTTCAACCTGAGGGCAGCAGGCAGAAACGGCTATGGAGGGGAATGTCTGGGTCACTGCTGACGGGCCGAGACATACCTGTGATGGCTTTATTGTTTAGGTGGGAGAGATCTTAGATGGGTAGGTTGACATGTTTGGTAACCTTGGTTAGTTCGTTCCTATTGGTAATGGACAGCTTACGAAGTAACAGGGAGATTAGAGAAGGATGGGTTGGATAATGCTAATGTATAACAATAAGAGAAGCTTTGGGGTGACAGAGAGGTAACAGAGCTTGCCAAGGGAAGAGTTTCTGCTGGGAATGTTTGTGATTGTTTATACCATGTTGCTCAAAGTAAAGTATTTTGTCCAGTGTGAATCCGAGATATTTGAAGTTACTGACACATTCACCTGTTTTACTGTATATGATAATGGGTGCCAGGCCCAGGGGATGTTGTTAGGTGTGAATTAATAACTCCTTTGGTATTATCCACATTCAGTTTGAGGACGTTGTTGGAGCACCACTCATTAAAGTGGGTGACAGACTGGTGGTAGGAAGTTACAGAGTTTCTGTCCTTAAGAAGAGCTAGGATAGAGGTGTCCTCTGAGTATTTGAAATATGTGGTGACAGGTGAGAGGCTGGTGTAGTGTGTGGACAGAAAGAGACTGAGAACACATCCCTGTTGGGCACCAGTGTTGGTGATTATATTGGATGAAGTGACAGAGCCAAATCTGACAGCCTGTGGTCTATTGCTGAAGAAGTTGTGATTTTAGTGGATGGAATAAAGGAAAAAAGACAGATTAATGGTTTGGGGCTTCTTGATCTGGTGTCATTGTAGTGTATTGAAATATAATATATAATGTAAAGTATTAATCAGAAGAACAATAATTTTGCTGCCATTTAAAAAAGTGAGTACATTTTTCAGTCTTTTGCAATTACTGAGGAAACTTTAAAGGTTTTTATGTGAAACTTTGTCTCAGTTGCTTCCTAACATTAGGAGTTCTGTAGGAACGGGTGGACGATGAAGTTACAGCACAACAGGAGAGCTGAGCATTTCACCAGTGTGGTGCCAAACCAGCATTGCCGTCTTCATGTAGCGCTCCAGGGACAGCTTTACTTAAGAGGGGCTGGGCTGTGTAATCAGACCCCCAGCCTGTGATTAATGTTGCTGTCTGTCTTCAGGAACTGTGCACAGCTCAGTACAACTCAGCGCAGCTCACCCAAGATGATGTTTACCACACAAAATTGTGCCTGCAGCCATGGAAATAAGTTGAATCCATTCCACCTACAGAGCCGTGAGATGTGTAAGAAGCTAACATCCAGCAAACTGCAAGGAAAAAAAGTTAAATTATAAAAATAAAAACAGCCACAAAAACAAACTGCATGATCCCTGACTGTAAATGCCTAAGCTTTGTGCCATGTGCTTCTTATCATTGGCCAGAAGGGCGTTTTGTTCCATTTCTGCAACTCACCTTTTAAGTGACTTGTTTTGGAAAGCAAGGAGAGTCAAACTCGAACTCTGGTTTCAGTTTAACTTCCCCTTGAGCAAAGCATGGCTGAGCAGAGAAGGGATGCACAAAGCAAACCCAGCATCTTCTAGTGCTAACATCATCAGAACTAACTCCCTACCTGTCGGCTCGCTGTATTAATGAGTTATTAGGTGTTTGTGGATAAACAATTTACAGCACTGGTGCATTTGTCACATGCTCAGGAAAAAGTGCATCTGGATTGGGGGCCTCTGCTTGCTAGGGAGTCCATCCATCTGCTACCACAATCGGGCTATTCACTCTGCCACTCTGACAGATTTACACAAACATTTGTGTTGTTTAACTGGCATGCTAATTTATTTTGTGAAACACTGAAAATCCCAGAGTAGCACAGTTTGTTATACTCTCTTTTGTACCTTATTTAAATCGTTTAAATTGATTTTAAAATTGCACAGGGTCAGAACAGGAGCCCAGGAAAATTAATTCCTGTATCCTGAATCGACATAAACTATTGCCTGAGGAATTCAAACACAAATGCTTTAAAACATCAATATTTCAGTAATCATTTACTCGCCCTCTAACAGCACCGGTAAACTGTAATACAGGTGGATTATGGACAACCTTTACAAATGTAAGAGTAGAGATCAAACTGTCTTTTGATTATTTTGTGACAAGAATATTTTAAAGAATTTCAAGACTGTTTTTTACTGAACGAGTTCTGGTCATCAACTTTTATGGCAGATGTTTTTCATCTGGAGAATGATCAGTGAACACTCGGGAGGTAAATGAGATTTCTACTCTGAATTCACACAGAAATATTTTCAGTGACGTTTTGTCCCTTTAAGTCAACTCTAAAGGAAATATACCTGAAGTCTCAGCTGCTAAATGCCTCACAACTCTAATCTTACCTCTTTCTTGCAAAGACATCATACAGTGAGAGTTTTAACAAATGTTAGATGCAAAGAACGATGAATACAATCTACTGCAAACAAGCAAAAACAAGCCTACTTAAAGGATTTAAAACCAATTCCAGTTTTCTGACAAGAACTTCTTCTGGCTCTTGGAGACTACAGACGCTTTTTTCCCCTCCTCTCCTCCCTATCTTATCCCAAGGCTCTTCGTCTCTGGGTGTGCAGCTGCTTCTGCATTTTTTCTGGAAACTGGAAACTGAAATGACTAAAATGGACCTGGTCAGTTGGTCACTTAACGCGATTGACAAAATTTTTTCTTTCTTTTTTTTTTAAAACCGTGTCCTGTCTGGCTGTGAAGCAAACAGAATTGATGTCTGAATGCTGGTAACAGGCCTTACAGATTTACTCTCAGGTGGAGCATCAAAGCGTCTGCTTTTAATGTCAGCCTGATACTTAAAACTTTATTGTTATTGTTTTTTAATGCTTTGTAATTCCGACCAGAAACGGAGTCAGAGGTGAAAGAGAAAGGAAAAGACAAAAGGTGGGGAGAGAGGGGGGAGGGGGTGGGGGGTTCCACTAAAATAAACAATAATGAACAAGAGTCTGCTTCTAGACCTGCAGAAAGAGAAAGAACAGAAAAAAATGGGACACACAACAATACATCAGGAGCAAGCTATCACTGCGTCAACCTGATGATGAAATATAAAATCAACATTGTTTAACTGAACAACCACACGATAATAAATCATAGTGCATTTAGTGGCAACGACAGCGTGCCGAAGCCCATACTTCTGAGAGCACCATGTGAGCACCTGTGTGTGTAACACGCTTGTTATTTAAGGTTTCTCTATAGGAGCGTCCAGTAGAGTGTGAGGGACCACAGATCTGTCCCCCAAAGATGGAAAGAGGTGCCTCTCTGGGACAGAGCCAGCTGGGCATATCATGGACTCCTGGAAACAGTGGAACCTGATTTGCCAATCTCAGCTGTCTGTAGAGGATTCTGAAGACGTCTGGATATTCGTGATGTTGGTGTCAGGTTTCCTGCTCTTTGGCCTAGGAGGCTTCCTGGCTTACCGGAAAATTAACGAGCTGTCGAGGAATATTGGAGCTCTCCCTGAGCTCAGGGATGGATTACACCGTGCTGTGAATTCACAGACTCATCTAATTGTCGAGATGAGTCGTAAGCTTGGAACTTTGGCTGAGATTCATGCGTTGGCACAAAAGATGGATGCCATCAAGGAGTGAGTGGACGAATCAGCACAGATTGGGATAGATTAACTTACGCCATTATTGGAATTTTGAGAGGTTGAGGACCAACGGAACTTTACGACATCGAGAAAATGACCTCTGTCTGGCCCAAAAACAATTCTTAATCTGAATCTGGTGCCCTTGAGCCTGTGAGGCTGCAACAAATTCTCCCCCCTCAGAAGAAATGTGGAAAGCTGCCGTCGCTATGGCAACTCTGTCTCCCTATCCCAGCCTGGGCAGGACTGTCCATTTTTGTCCACTTATCTGGGTTACATGAATAACAGTCCCAACAAAGAGGTACAAACCACTCTTTACTGAGGAAGCTCCACAACATCCACTGATGGGATCCCACGACACTGGGATCCTCTAGTTTAAGGTAGACCTGGGGGCCTCCCCAGGGAGGCATCCAAGTGGCATCAACCAACTACCAACACCTCAGCTGGCTCAACTCGATATGATCGATTCAAAGATCATGACCATCATTAAGGACTTTCTTAATATGCTCCAGAAATTCCACTTACAGCTGCTTTAATCTGCTAAAGCGTGATTCACACGGACAAAAATTAGACCAAGATAAAACCACATGTTTGAAAGTGCTGATATATGATCAGAGCAGAAGGTCCTTTCAAGCAAATCAGAAGAATCTTAACACACCAGACATGGCAGGAATATGTGATGAGAATATCTTCAATTCCAGGACGGTAATCAGGTGCGACCTTATGATTGCCAGAGGAGCATCAGGTCAGAAATCTGCATGCTATCCTGTTGTATGAACCAGGCCATAGGTGTTTACCATCTGGTGATGTGTCTTACCAAAATCTATGGGGGAATACATCCAGCCAATCATCTGGAGGGAGACAAAAGCCAGCAAACCAGAACCCACAAAGGAGCCAATCCCAGAGAAGAAGAAGAAGAGCCCCATGATGGCACTCTGCATGGACTTGGGAGCTGCAGAATAGGCAAACTCGAGACCTGTAATGAAGACAATACACATTTATAAAATGATTGTTGCAAAATGAAAGTTATCATTTGTCACAATGCACTGGGATATAATATCAGATTATCCATCTTTGTAATACAAGGTGCACATATGTCTAGGAGAAAAATCATCACATCCAGTTCTCTTCTGCCTAAAACATTTTCGTGCTGGAAGCAGACATTGGTAGTTTCATGGCACGTCAAACATTTGATCCCTTAGATGAAGCCCTAGAGCTACATGTGTCTAGAGAGATTAGGGAGAAGTTGTTAAAACACAAAACTCCACCTTCCTTGAAGGAGAACAGCCTCCTTAAATGAGCTTCTGTAAAATTCTAGGAGTAAATAAATGAACTCCATATGGAAAGATAGGAGATAAGAACACAGCAAGCACAAAGTTATTACACAGTAAACAACATGAATGGCATTTACAAAAGGATTACATTTGTTTGTATCCTAAGATGACCTTTGAGTAGCAGCATTTCAGAGTCAGTAGCTACTGTATGCTCATCACAGAGGACTGCAAATGCTGGTAATGTACAGCTCAGCCCATAGCAGCGCTGTAACATTACATTAAATCCAGCCATCGTCTGTCCATGACAATGATCTGATATCAAAGTGATGCTCATGGCTTTCAGCTCAGAGAAAATAAACAGCTTGACCTTTCTTGACCCAAAGGATTATTTTAATGAAAAGCTATAGCTAAAAGAAAATACAGCGCGATCATTTCATCCTTCTATAGTTTGCTCTTTTTAAAACTACCATAAATTTTTTCAAAAAATGTGTTAGGAGAATTCTTTCCTGGTATTTTTTATACGAATGAGGAAATTATTCCCTGATGACTTATTCAACTGCAGTATGGAAGTCAATGGTAGCAGAGGATTTTCAACAAATTTATTCAAACAGAACAAGGCAAAAGGGAAATATCCCTCTCCACCAGATAAATGTCATAATTCTCATAGCCAATTTTTCTTGAAGCAGGACCTGTGGGATGGGACGGACTGAGCGCACATTTATTTTAAAGAACCCCGTAGCTTTGTTGGGCTGGATTTGACTTTCATTTGTTAATTAAGACTGAGTCCCACAATCTTTGTAAAGAAGAAGCTCGAATCAAGGACCCTAGAACAGCCAAGCCTTCGACACAAAATGTCAGTGTTCATGGACTTCAAATCTAGGAATGACAAATTTTCCATAAGAAGATCTTGGAGAGTCTGAGAATACTTAAGAAAAATATTCCTGAGAGTCAGTATTCCCTCCTGGCTGAGACAAAAAAATAACGTGCTACAGTGTATGGAAGTGCCCTCAACAACATGATCCATTGTAAAAAGTGACTTTACTATGAGTAGCGGCTTTGTCATAGTTGAATCACAGATAACTGGGGCCTAAGACCACAACTGTATAGAAGAAAATACATAAAATAAATGAAAGTAAAAGGCAGATTGTAATTTTTCACTGTGAGTTTAGGAAATAAGAACCCACAGTTCTGATTCATGACTCTAATGTAAATCAAACATGTGATTAATCTAAACAATAAATCTTTAATTTGCCACGTTTCCTTATTATTGCAAAAACAATTCTAATCCCTGCGCTTATTTAAAGGTGTTTTTACCATAGACAAAGATAAATACACACAATAATAGAAGGAGCTCTCAGCTGTTTCGTTAAGGAAGAAAATGCTTTGATGAAATATATTTCTTAATAATCATTATCCAGTAAAGAACATACAATCTAGATTACTTTGCTGAAATCAAATACAGCTAAAAGTTCAGCAAAGATTTATGTTTTGGTAAGAACATGTTTTGATCTGATCAACGTGGGAGCAACAAAAAGTTTTGGATTCTAATCAAAGAGGAGTGCATGCTTTTACACTCCAGTGAGAAGTGAGGTCTGAATGCTGCAATTTTTAAGCAAATTTTCTCTCTGAGGAGAAAATTGTTTCCTGTTAGTAGAAAGATTAAGGTGATTCACACTGGATAATGATAGGCAATAAAACATTTTGAGTGGGGCGAAAGGAGAAACAGGAAGAGAGTGGTAATATATTTATTTGTTTTACATATTTGAAAACTTTTCAACATTGTAGTAATGTGACTGTATAAAAATACTGAAACTACTGAAATCACATGTAAATAACTCAAACTCTAATCAAGTAATAACAGTAAGATATAACACACTAAAACTAAGACATGTGGGTTTCTTGTTTTTGTTTTGTTACGTTGTTGAGAAAGTAAAGACATGCTCATTTTTCTGTCTGATGCCAACAAATGTGATGCAATGTCGTGGTAATGTGCATCACTGTGTTTCATCACCTATTTTTTAACAACAGTCTTCAGGCATCTGGGAACTGACAAGAACAAACATTTCACAGTTGCTGACCAGTTTGAAGACTTCTGAGTTCATGTTAATGATGGGTGACAACTAAACTGCAGATGAGAGGGATAACCACCTGGACCATTCCATAGTGAGACATTAGCACAATTGAAAATTTACATACAAAGACGTATTGAATATCTTTTATGTGGTGGAATTCAAACTCCAACTGCTAGGTGGCAGCAGTTTTACAGCCTTCATCCCAACAGAATGAGAGCTTGTGTTAAAACTGGATGTGTCTAGGAAGCATCTGGCCTGAAATCTTCAATTAAATTCCGTTTAAGTAATTGCAAATGTCATCTGGCTTTTAGTAGAGCAAAATATCATCTCATCTCCTATCTATGGGTATCTATTGTAGTCAATACACACCCCTACAGGTTTGAAAATGAGAACACAGCACCTGCTCCAAAACCTGCAGCCGTACACCACACTGTTCATCAATGTTGCCTTTACAGAGCGATACACGAACTGGCCACTTTATTGGGTACGCCTGTCCAAATGCTCAATAACGCAAATTATTAACTAGTCAATCACACGGTGGTAGCTCAATGCATTCAGGCATGTTGACATGCAGTTCAAACCGAGCTTCAGAATGGGAAAGAAATGTCATTTAAAGTGCAAGTAACACCTAAATTAACTTTTTTTCTGATAGATGAGTGTCTAATGGTGCTGTAGACATGTGTAATCATTGGTGTGGCAGTTTAGTGCAACTTACTTTAAATTTAATATTTCAGCCGAAAACCATAATTATATCTCCATCTTCAGGTTAAAACCAGGGTTTTTCCTGGCTCAAATTGAGGCAGAGGTGGTACCATCCTGACCATGCGCCAGCACATGCATACTCTGTGTATTCAACTGCCTCACCTTTTTAGGGGCAAAATATTATAAAAGGCTCAATAATATGCATTAGATTAGTGTTTAGTTCCCCTTTTCCCTTCTGATATTTATAGTAAAAAATATTTTTAAATATTTGACCTACATTTCAGTAACACTTTAGGTTTGTATTGATAACACTCATCTTAGTCAAAGTAACACATACAAATATCCAGTAAAATATAATGCATTTCATTAACATGCATTTGTATTAGAAATGGTAATAACATTTAATTCTGATAACAATGTAATGGTGGCATGTCTATTATGTTAGGGTTAGGGGGGTGTTCCGTTTTGCCTTGGCCCCCAAAATGTCTTGAAACGGCCCTTGGTGTGTGACTGAGTTTTGAAGGTGATCTGAATTGTATCAAATGTATAAATATTACATGTGTATAACTTATTGTTTTATACAAATAAAAAAGTGTAGTGGAGGTAAATCTACCTACATTTGACTTTCAAGCTTTGTTTTCTTGTTTTTATGTGACTATTTCACTGTCCTGTCCTGTTTCTCATCTTCCTGCATCTCCTCTAAACTCTCCTGGAAAACTGCTGCCTGAATTCTTACTTCTTCACCTCATCAGTTACTTTGAGCAGATCAAAGGGATCTCCTGATCGCAAAGCGGAGTGCGCGTTTCGATGCTGCGTCAGTGAGGTGAAATCACCGCAGCACACGATGAGCGGAGCGCAGAGCTGGATTAACGCAAAGGCAAAGTAGGCACATGCCTAGGGCCTGATTGGCTGGATGGGGCCCAGACAGAGGGACAAAATTAAAAATAAATAGGACTCCTGTCTACAATTTGTTTCAATATTTATTAATTAACTAACAATAGTGACAATGTTTATCTTAACCATAGACATTAGCTACGTCACATTAACGGCAGCCTACGACTGTAGCCTACAACTTGAGTGCCACCCAATTAAGGACGTCAGAGAAGCGGTCAGAGTCAGAGCGGGACACAACAAAGCTAGCAGGTGTTTTTGAGTAGGCTAACTTTCACGATGCTTTCGGGTGCTGCCAAAAAATGCAGCCTGCCTAGTGTAGTCCATTTATTTAATCCGGCTCTGGCGGAGCGCGTCAGGAACGATTAAAAGACAGAATACCAGAGGACATGAACGGATATGAACAATCATGTGTTATTAATAAGAGTTTTGTTGAGCCACCTTGAGAATGCATCGTGCACCGGACGCAGTGGGCGCACCAACGATAAGCGCTCTGCGTCCTCTCCGCTCAACAGAATCCCGCAATGCTGAGAGTCCATAAATATTGTAATATAGGTAGAAACTGGATCTTTCCCTGAAAAATATCTAGCCCCCCATATCTCGATCCCTGCTCCTGGATGAAAAAAACGGACATTTTGATCAACGTAGGAAACCCCTCCGGACGCCCCGGACAGAGAGTGAAAAGTGGACATGTCCAGGGGAAAGAGGACGTATGGTCACCCTACAATAGCACCAACCATAGATATATACCAACTAGCAAGAAAAGCTATTTTTGATCATCTTTTTCTGCAGCGGTTTTAGCGCTTTTCGGCGCACCGCTGCTGATACAGTGCCCCTATAGTGGCGCAATGCTGTAACTGCAGTTAAAATAACATCCCTATAGCTGGGGGCTGAGCGAAATCAGGCTGGGGCAGCACAAAAATAGCTGGAGGCGGCCGCCACGCAAATTTGAACGCAGGAAAAACTCTGAAAACTTTTTTTAGAATCAGCTGTGGCTGATGGCTAAGCTGAAAAACGTGACATTGTCAGCAAATTAC